ATGTTGTGAACAGGGAATCTGTGAGCTGTATTTGGGGTTGTACAGTTCCTGTGGTCTTCTCTGTGACTGTCGATGACCATATTTTCAGTTTTTGTTATGTGGGATGACCCTGTCCTCACAAACCCCTCCGGAGCCAAAACTAACAGTTAGGTATCCTCAGAGTGCCAGTTCATCTGTCTGCATGTGTCTCTTTGAATGAGGGAGCTTGTCTGTTGTACATATCCTGGGTCTGTCCTGCGAGTTATTAATGAGGTGTGAGTGTGAGGATGCCACTGCTGGGGTTTACTGGCAGCTAATAGTGATTAAAAATAGAATGTCAAATGTTCCTGTGTGCAGAATGTTAAGTAAAATGTTAGTAAAATTGATTCATTTTTGCGGGGGGGTGTTTATCACACTTGAATATTTCAGATCCTCAAACAGTTTGAAATATTAGACAAAGATAGCATAAGTATAAATGCAGTTTTGTAAATGAAGGTGTTTATTATTAAGGGGAAAACAAAAATCCAATCCTACATGTGGAAAAATAACTGGTTGGGCCACCCTAGGCAGCAACAACTGCAATTAGGTGTTTGTGATAAGTGTCAATGAGTTTGTTTGTTTGTTTGTTTTTTACAGCGCTGTAGAGAATTTTTGCAGAATTGTTGTAATTCAGCCACATTGGCGAGTTTTTGAGCATGAAATGGCTTTTTAAGATCATGCCACAGCATCTCAAGATTTTCCAAAGTCTTCATTTTATTTATTTTTTTTTTATTTTTTAAACCATTCAGAGTTGGACTTGTTGGTTTGTTTTGGATCATTGTCCTGCTGCAGAAAACAAGTGCGCTTCAGCTTGAGGTCACGAACACATGGCCAGACATTGTCCTTCGGGATGTTTTTGTAGACAGCTGACTACAGCAAGTCCTACGGGTCCTGAGGTGGCAAAACAGCCCCAGACCATCACACTACCACCACCACATTTTACTGTTGATATGATGTTCCTTTTCTGAAATGCTCTTACTTTTATGCCAAATATAATGGTACACACACCTTCCAAAAAGTTCAACTTTTGTCTTGTCAGTCCAGAGTTATTTTCCCGAGTCTTGGCGATAATCAAGATGTTTTCTGGCAGGCAATCACTTTTTCACACCACTGTAACACAATTTTTTTTTCCCCTTTAGCTTTAATGAAGCAATTCATCAGTTACACTTTGCTCTATTTTAGCCTCCTTTTTATTTATTTGTTTTATTTGTTTTATTTTCTTGCTTTTTTTGAGATTAAAATGGTCAGTTTATTAACTATTATTGGCATTCCTCTTGTGCCTTTGTCTCACCTCAGCAGTATTGCTTGTAATCTCACTAAAGGACCCACTGGGAAATGAGAATCCCATCAATGTCTGGATATACAGTTTATCGACTTGCTTTGATCGACTTGCTCTCGACATGTCTGCCTCTTTTTCCCTCTCAATTGTCCCATATCTCTGCGCGTCTGTGGATGCAACCATCAAAATGAAAAGGCAAGTTATATTTCTTGAAGACGGAGATTATTTTATGGTCAATTGTACCAGTCTCTGTTAGCTAGAATTTGTGATAGAGGTACCCCTGTCTGTGTAGTTTGGCATATGCAACCTACATATTCTACCAGCCAGGCCAGAATGTTTTGAGAATCTAAAAGTGCCAAGTTTGGCCTTCATTGTCTAGAAAGGTGCTTTTTCTCTCAGGCAGTGAATATGGGTGAAATTTTGTCCTGTAACATAAAGTCGGTGGGGGACTAATACTTGGGTCTGTACTAGGTTCCCTGCCAAGGCTGCAAAGCTTTAAGGATTGTTATAATGTCAAATGTTAAGGTCAATGTCTCTTTTGGTTTTAGAATGATTAACATCTGTGGGGAAGCTTTCATTGCACTTACGGTAATGATGTACACAAGTGTATGTCAAGTGGAGTAGTGTTAATCTTCACTTAACCTGTCTGCTTCTCTATTATGCTAAT